GACTCACTAATAAAGACAGCAGCTTGTTTGATAAATTCTTGATAAATGTGATAAATTCTGATTTGCCTTTTTTTGTTGTTGAACAAATCAGTTTAGCGAATGATTCAGTAACTCCCTTTCACAGTTACGTGTTTTTTTTACCCCGATTGAATCAGTGATTTTTTTTTAAAGATTTGTTTTGTTGGCATTTTGCCTTTATTAAGATAGGATAGTGTAAAGTAGACAGGAAGCGAAGTGGGAGAGAGAGAGAGAGAGGGATCGGGAAAGGTCCTCGAGCCGGGATTCAAACTTGGGACTGCCCACTAAGCTATCGGCGCCAACTAAATTAGTGTTTTGAATGAATCGACTGACTGTGATTCAGTCACTCACACATAAAGAGAGAAGCTTGTTGCCACCTACTGGTGTATCAGTGCAACCTGCATAAAGATTCGCTGAAAAATATCAATCAATTTGAGGACCTTAACTGTTGTATTAAAAAGGACAATTAAGGAGTGTTGTCCTGATCAGCTTGTCAGGGTGTAGTTTGTGACAATGACCAGCTGACTATTAATTTTTGGATGAAATACTCATTCAATACATTTTTGTTCAACAAAGCTTTTTGCAGCTGTTTGTCACAACTGAACATTTTTCATACAAATGTACACCATCCGGAACCACTGACATGCACACACCGTGCACATTGTGCATCTCTATCATCCAGCCCCTTATGAGGAAACAAACCTGAGGCTGTAATGCAGGATGACATCTCTTTCAAACATCAGCTCTCACTACAGCTGCTAAACGCAAACAGTATGTTGTCGGACAGTGTCCACGGCAGGAACTAATTGCCGCAGCACATGTAGTGAGCTTGGAATAATCATACAGCTTGAGTGAACAGTGCAGGTTCTCTCTGGAGCTTGCTCAGCACTCCATACGCTCCTAATTATGCTGATCAGGTTTCACTCACTTCCATATCTGATAATTGTGCTGAGAGGAGATTTGGATGCCAAAAAGAAAAAAATGTAACGGTGAGATATTAACTTACACTAGAATAATTTGAGATGCGTTAGATATGCTTCACATTTGCTTTCAAATTATTAATTCAAGCTATCCGCCATCATAACATAGCACTGACAGGATGTTATTTGTATAAAAATCTAGAAAGGCCTGTCAAAACAAACTTAGAATTTTGGATTGACAAAACCTTGCCTGGAAGTTTGAAGAATTTGAAGGTTGAAAAATGTAAATAGTGTAAAGAGATATTAAGTTTAAAGAAATTTAAGCCTTGCTATGTGGTATTGCTATGGGGTTTTCTGCTAAAAAATACCCACTTAAACCAGCTGTATGGATAAATAGAACGAACAGTAGAACGATAGATAGATCGATAGATAGAACGATAAAACGATAGATAGATAGATAGATAGAATGACAGAACAATGAAAGATAGATAGATAGATAGATAGATAGATAGATAGATAGAACTAAAGCATTTACAAATACAATTACATAGATAGA